AGCTACTAGATGTGTGCTTGCTACGTGAAATTTTCTTTATTTTTGTAACAGTAGGGGTCAGCTCCGTACACAGATAACCTAGAAATCACTTAGGTAACGTAACACAAACAGGTTTCGAACGTAAGTTACACCCCTGTAAGCTTTAAAAATGCCCAGATCGTTTGAAAAATAGTTACTTTGGAGGTAAAAAAAACAAAACTGGACTGACTATATGGGCAGATTGTAGGATATGGGTATTGGCTTGTTAAGAAGAGATTTCAAAGGCAACATGACAAGTAGTTGTCGCACATCATCTGGACCTAACAAGTTGATATCCGAGTACACAGAAGATTTAATATGGACACCGAGAAACGTGTTAAACTAAAAGCAGCATTGTTTTTTTTTTTTGTTTTTGTTTTTTAGATTTTCGTGTGATGTGGTGTGTGTGTGTGTGTTTAAGTACACATTAGTTATCTATAACCTTGGTCCAAGTTCAAGGCCATAGTGATTTCGGATGTTTAGTTGGTGTTTTTTGAGGTTGAAGCAGTACTCTGTAAATGTTTGTGAAGTAAGAGGCCACGATTTCAGCTACTTGAATTATGTTGCGTTCGTCTTTCAGCATGGTAAGTGGTCTGTAAGATAGGTACAACCCAGGTCAAATGTCAGCACCACTATAACCCAGGTCAGATGTCGGTACCACTATAACCTAGATCAGATATCAGTATTTCTTTTTACGTCTTTCAGCATGGTCAGTAGTCTGTAAGATAGGTACAACCCAGGTCAAATGTCAATACCACTATAACCCAGGTCAGATATCAGTATTTCTTTTTACGTCTTTCAGCATGGTCAGTAGTCTGTAAGATAGGTACAACCCAGGTCAGTATCACTCATTTTACATGGTTTAAACTACAGTTGTTCCAGTGGTATTTTAGGCAGTGCATAAATAGTAAAATCTGGCTTGAATCGACTGCTTTTCCCCTCTTATAGAGTGGGACGACGTTACAGCTTCTATACTGAGGCCTTCTCTGACCTGAAGGAAGCCCCAGTATTAAAATCGAAACGTGGATTCACTCTAGAAGCAGTGTATTTAAGGCAAATCTGTACTTAAGGGTCAGTGGTTTAATGACGTATATGGAATTGATACCAATGTCCATAAATGAATAAAACTGGTTAAAATTGGCCAAATAACGAAAAACAAAAATACACGGTTGAATTAAAGTTGAGGGCTTGTAACAATCAGATTTCAGTACTCGCGATGGACACAGCACAGATAACCCATTGCGTAGCTTTGCGCTTGAGAATAAACAAACCAGAAAACCTTTTTTTTATACAATACAATTTTAAAACCTGCCAGAAAATAAATGTCACAAAACTGGAAATTCTCAAAAAAGAAATTCATTAAAAGGTTAAAATTATTCATATTTAAATTGCTTTGTTCTATCTCCTATATACGGCCCAGGTGGTTAGGGTGCAAAGTGCGGGTCGCAGGTTCGAATCCCCGTCCCACCAAACATGCTCGCCCTTTCAGCCGTGAGGGCGTTGTTATGTGACGGTCAATCCCACTATTCGTTGGTAAAAGAGTAGCCCAAGAGTTGGCGGTGGGTGGTGATGACTAGCTACATTCCCTCTAGTCTTACACTGCTAAATTAGGGACGGCTAGCGCAGATAGCCCTCGTGTAGCTTTGCGCGAAATTCAAAACAAAACAAAAAAAGAACTCCCACACTTGGGAAAAAAGCGGGAAAAATATTTTTGAATATTAAGGATGATTTTTTAGTAAACGTGTCATCGATAAGGCTTAACAACAAAAGTTTACGTTTGTATACAAATATTTGACTTTAAACTTTTCTTATATATATATATAGGGGATAGTAGTTTCCAATGTTATTAATTCAAGTAAATATATTTGTTAATAAATCACGCATGTAAATTGTATTCAGATACGGTGGATGAAACAAATTTGAGGGAGTTTAAGGAAAGGCTTGATAATGGAAAGAAAGGTCCACCTTTCCAAAGCTCTCGGGTTATAAGGTTTCGTGTTTCTGTTTATATATATATTTATTGAGTTTAGTTTAGTGGATGGGACAGCCTAGATGGACCAACAGGTCCCTTGTTGTACTTAAATGTTATGTTCAAGAAAAACTTATAATGTGAAGAAAAAGTAATATTACTATGCACTGCACTTTAAAATTCTCATCTCACCTTCTATTACAGATCCAATTATAATTAATATTTTCAATGGTCCCTACTTGAAAATACTTGTATCTCCCTCTATAGGCTGTTTTACGCAACGTTGCAAAAATCGCCGACTCCGCTTGTCTATCGACTTGACGCGATTAATACAGTAATTGAGTGTCAGTGCATCGATTTAACAGACTCTGCGCAAAATTATCCCGGTATCGATTGTTGGTGGCGTTGAAGTCAAACAACTAATACCAAGTAAAGATTTTAAATTTTGGTTTTTGAAGAAACTTGGTTTTATTTAAAATTAAATGAGCAAAAAATGGCGAATATAATCATTGAACAGATTTCATTTTTTGTATTTTTGTTTTAATGTTCTGAAGTTATCTTTGTTTTACAGTTGACGTATGATAAATAATCACAATTCAACATTTTAAAAACTTCGTGATGAATTCTAGATTTTTTCACCACTAATATATCAAAAAGTTTTAGTATGTAATAAAGTTTCTTTGAATGTCCAACAACAACAACAACAAAAATGTTCGCAGACATACCACTGTGCCACTGGGGGGCCAGAAATTTAGTTACATGATTTACAGCACTAAGTTACCTTTAACGATGTTCGAAAATATATATTATTATTGTTTTAAATGTATTTATTAACACTAAAAAAAACCGATGTTGACATAATTTAAAAAAACAACACAACTGTAAGTCAAAATGGTAAAAACATGTATTACAAATTTAGTTACGATTAATTTTTCAAGTTTCTATCAAAACTGGTAATCTTATTTTTTACTTTTCATGCCCCTTAGTGGCACAGCGGTATGTCTGCGGACTTACAACTCTAGAAAGCGGGTTTCGATACCCGTGGTGGGCAGAGCACAGATAACCCATTGTGTAGCTTTGTGATTAACTTCAAACAAACAAACCATTTTCCCTTTTTACCTCAATACTGCGAGTCTGGGCCTGGCATGGTCTGGTGCTTAGAGCGCTCAACTCACACGCTGTGGGGGCGTTATAAGTGACGGTCAATTCCAATATTTGCTAGTAAAGAGTAACCCAAGAGTCAGCACCTTAGTAGCGTTGCCATAAACTGCAAAACAAAAGTAAGTCAGATGTAGTTCAAAAGTATCTTGTTAATAAAGTCGGTGAGTCTTTCTTGTTTACAAGCTACGCAGGACAGTGCACCTTAATAATGTACTTTATTAAACACATATGATAATAGACTTCACGTATTTCATTTGGTAAGCAGAATGCTCTGTACTACTAATATAAACCTAGGTGTGGTGTGTAATGGTGGCGACTGCCATAGGTACTTCTCCGTTTGGAAATATCATAGAAGCAATGCATTGTTCGATAGCTCTAAATATCCGGAGAAGTCAAGTTTATGTATGTTTCGGTCTGTACACTGCGGTATTGCTTTGTTTGAGGACAAACCTAACCACCACAGTTCCTGACGAAACTGTTTGTTGAATTAACTACCGAAAATATATCCAACCATCACAGTTCCTGACGAAACTGTCTGTTGAATTAATTACCGAAAATAAACCCAACCACCACAGTTCCTGACGAAACTGTTTGTTGAATTAACTACCGAAAATAAACCCAACCATCACACTTCCCGGTAGTTAATTCAACAAACAGTTTCGTCAGGAAGTGTGATGGTTGGGTTTATTTTCGGTAGTTAATTCAACAAACAGTTTCGTCAGGGAAGTGTGATGGTTGGGTTTATTTTACAGTTTCGTCGGGAAGTGTGATGGTTGGGTTTATTTTCGGTAGTTAATTCAACAGACAGTTTCGTCCTGTTGAATTAACTACCGAAAATATATCCAACCACCACACTTCCCGACGAAACAACAACTAACTAACTAAAACTACACAATGAGTTAACGGTGCTCTGCCCGCCACGGGTGTCGAAACTCGACTCATTTGAATGCGGCGCATATTCTTGTACAATATTTACTGTATGCACAGCTAACACAGTCCGAGTGGCTGAGAAAATCTGTTTAATAACAACAGGCGACATTTAGAAAAAACAACAACAATGTGCCTGGTATCATTTTTACTATAATAAAGTCAAGCACTTGAGCAGAAGGGCTCCATGACGTATAGAAACTGTCACGCTACAACCCAGTGACTTTGTCAAAAAAAAGAAAAAAAGAGGCAGGTGCAACAGACATACACACACATTTCTATGTATATATATGTGTGTTTATATATATATATATATATATATAATATTATTATTGAAGTCGAGATGAACTAAGATATTAAGATAAAACAAAGTAACTACGACAAATGGTTTTTGTGCAAATATAGGAAGCTAATTCTAGAGATTTTTTTTCTTTTGACCATGCACGTGTATACTGTACATCTGTCGGGTGGTAGTGTTTACAAGCTTTGGAGTTAAGATCTTACTGCAAATAACCGAGTTAGACTAAAGTGGCTAAGTAGATTGTTAGTTGTTGTTTTTTTTATTTATAAAAAACAAACAAAAAAAACGTGTACTCTCACCCGTACACATGCGACAGACAGCCGATGACATCATCTGCTACAATGGCGGGAGTTTCAACTGAATATCATAATTATTATTCATGATATGCCGATATCATGGTCTCGCGTGATACCAGGCGGTCGGCGGCGAACGCGGTCACGTGACCTGACTGGCAGGATAGGGTTATCAGTTTCTTCCATAAATTTGAATGGCAGATAAAAAGCAGGCAGCGTTTGCTATGTAAAGCTCGCCTACATTGAGTGAGTGCTACACTGCGAACGGCGCAGCAGGCTGCGCCGCCATGATGGAAAAGTCGAAAATTGCATGTAAGTAACATCTCTAAAAAAACTGCTGTCCCTACTGACTGCTTGAGGGAGGGAGGGGGGCTCTGGTTCCCTCGTGCTGGACAGAGTGGACGTCACCGATTGTCAGGGTGTGGCTGAGGGAGAGTCGTGAGTGACTTTCGCCTTTCATAGACTCGATACAAAATGTTGTACAGTCTCAACCCTTTGAGCACTAACGGCCCGAGTTTAACGGTGTTGTTTAGTTCTTGTAAGCAAGGGAGGTTTCTCGTGTTGTCATGTGTGAGTCTGTTTTGTCCTGATGTTAACTATCTGGAAGTGGCGGGGATAGCTGATGTGCAGGGTTTCAGGGCTGTTTGGTTCTATGAAAAGACTAGTTGAAGCCAATTATATACTACCATTGTAAAACGAAAAACGCATGATTAGGCTTAAGGTGTAAGAGAGCGAAGCTGGCATATCGTCCAAACAAAAAACAAAACAAAAAAAAACGTCTGCGTAACATTTTTTATTGCTATTTGTAAAGAAATATACATATATAAATAAATTGATGTCATATTTAGGTTCGGGAATTTTGTATAAATGTTGAGAAAATGAAGGGATCTTCCGGTTTAACAGACGTTGAAGTCGGTAGAAAAATGGTAATTGTTATTATTGCTTGGAATTACTGAAATATACTTCGAATTGCTGAGCATCTGGTGAAGAGTCTTAGGTTACATTTAGAATTATGCCTGTGGAATCTCTTCTTTTTTTTGTCGGTAGGAGTATGTAGCTTTTCTGTTGTACTGCGAGTTCTTCTGTTCTGAGGTTTGTACATCCTTTGTATATGATTGCATATCCTCCTAAAAAATTAAATTCATTTCGAAGGTTGAAGTTGACTTTAATTTATATTTAATAGCACATTTTATATAAAAAAGAAGTAATTGAGAATTATTTAACAGTTTATTTTAGGTTATAGTAATTCTTTTTGTAATTAGTGTGTAATTTTCAAAGTACTTCTTTTGTGTAACGTAAAAAAAAAAGACTTAGGGAAAGGCTGTTCTTCTTTTATTTTTGGACTCTGATAAAACTCAACTATGTAATTGTAATATTCTGAAAAGTCCATTCCACTGTTCTATTTACTAGACCTAAGTAATGGTGGATTATGAAATAACAGTATTATGTTTTGAAGTAGTTAGGAAAATGAGACCAAAGTAATAATAATACAAAGAAAAGCTTATCGAATAACATTCCCTGTAAATCTTGACACTACACATATAGAATTACAAAATCAACATTAATTTCAGTTATTTTATTTGTTAAATTTCGTCATTTAAAAACTATTGTTTCTAAAGGCATTTAGGTTTAACTTATAAGATAAGCAGAATTAAGAGTTAACTTATATAAAGACTATTAGGTTTAATATTAAATTTTTAGTTGATTCCTTACTAATGTTTTGTTTTTATCACCATCACTGGTTTAGAAGTTACATAGTTTAAGTGCTTTCTTTTATATCTGCTCCTATCCAAATACTGACCTTGCGAAAAAAAATTCTAACAAAACAAGTAAAAATCTGTAAAGAAGACAATTACTTATGAAATAAATAAATAAATCATTGAAAAATTTTCAGAGCTGATCATTAAACCTGACCAACACTTTTTCGAGGACTTTTATTAGATCAAACATTTTCTAAGCGATGTCTTTCGAGTTAGAATACAGGTCTACACTTCGCATTTCATTAATTAGGCTTAGCTGTATTTCATTAATTAGGCTTAGCTGTTTAGCTTTTGTTAGAATGAAAAATTAGTACTTAATTTGGTTGCTTATGTTTTTTAGAATTAAAAAAAAATTCATCCGTTTTTAATGTTGACTAACCCTAACCCTAGAACTAACCAATATGGACCCCCATCAGTTTATAAACACATTTTCATAAACTGTTTATGCACCAAATAGAAATTACACCCGCTAATTACTGCTGAGTTTTACTATGTATTTTACATACAAAATAAGCGATTTTGCCCATTTTTTTGTTAGTTCGTGTCACCGAGTGTTACAACGTGTATTACTCAATGTGACACAATATGTAAACCCCACCGGTAGTGAACGGTATAAATACAATTCAGGAATTTGATGGTTAAACGTAATTATTATTTTTAATTCCTATCACTCGAGCCAGTCGATTTTAATAGGCTTAAGTAAAATAAACATTAGGCTTAGCGTTTTTGTTTCTAAAAATTAAAGCAGTTTTATACACACCAAGTTATTAAAGTCACAAACAAGAATTTATGTTGAAAACAAGCGTTTTGTTTAAATACTGTAAATCTAATTTAATATCCAAGCAGACTTAACTCTGGACTTTTTTTTTTTTTAACTATTACGATACTTCTCCTTACTGTATGGTTTCCTAATGTGTCGATTTCATTCACAAGGCCATCCATTGCTGTGCTAACTTAATTATGTTCCTGTTGCTCTGATATTAATTCAAAGAATGATTTAAAACTGTTTGTTGATTATGAGTCAAAAGAACCATTAATCAACACTTACAAATTTATTGCGGTTTATACTAAAGTTTAGTATATGTATAAGTTTGCCTTGATTTAATAAGATATATATATACAGGTGGTGCCAAAAAATACATGATTTTTGATCTTGACAGACTTAGTACTCACTGAAGGTAGTTAATGATAAGCTCGCGATTTATTACTTACCTAACCCTAGAATTTCTGATATGAACTGTATGTCTGCGGACTTACAACTCTAGAATCCGGGTTTCGATCCCCGTGGTGGGCAGAGC